GTCAATTTTTCCTTTAAAATGCTACTAGTCCTGAAGGACCCAGTATATTTTGACTTAATTTGGTCTGGAGCATAATCAAACATTGGGTGTGGCCTCCCTTGGGGCAGAGGGGTGGGGGCAAAGAAGGGAAATAGAGGTAAAACCTGGTCTGGAGCATCCTTGGGGTAAAGGAAATCAATTTTGTATAAACAGTGAGTGTGCCCCCTGGGTCAGAGTGGCGGGGCTATATAGGGGTGACATAGCAAGTTCTTCAAAATCCTTCTTCTGAAGAAATGACAGGATTTTGTCCAAATTTAGTATGAAGCACCCTTGGGTAAAAGGGACCAATTTTCTATAATGGTGGGTCCGACCCCCGTTGGGACAGAGGGGCGGGGCCAAATAAGAAAAATAGAAAAATAGCCTCTGTAGGAACGACAGGATTGTGTCCATATTTGGTTTAAAGCATCCTTGGGTGAAAGGAACTTAATTTTGTACCAATCACCATTTCCAGGTGAGCGATACAGACCCTCTTGGCCTCTTGTTCTTTTGTCTTCTGCTCGATTTATCCGCTGCAGCATGTCTTTTGTTTAGGGGTCATTGAAAAAACACAAAAATCTTTTGCTGCTCCCATTACAACATTTTGGGTATTAAATGTTTTCCAGCTGCGTTTTAATAACCTTTTTGTTTCCTAGCGCCTTGCTTCGTGTTTTCTTACCTTCTGCTTTAGTTTTAAACGTTCGACCAAATGGAGAGAGTTTTACAACCTTTTAGCATCCATGGTCATTTAAGGACGTGCCAGGTTTTGGTGGTGCAAGAAAGCCGGAGTCCCCGTAGAAAAAACACCGATATAAGGCCAGAGCGATGTATAATTAACTAGGTAAAATATTCCTGTCGTGACCCCGTTTTTTTTTAATATCAATTTGCAACTCAACAATAAAGCACTGTCGGGTTGGTGGAGACCATTTTGACAGCTCAAAATGTAGTCAATACTTACTAAGCCAGCCATTACTTACTTTACCCCATTGCTTCCATTGATTTTAACAAAAACACGCAGACAGACACAATCTGTAGCAAACTAGTTTATTTTTGTACAATTTGTTTTAATTTACATTTCACAGGAGAGGGATTAGTTGATATCAGATATTAACATTCATGTTCAACGTCATTCACAAAAACAATCCATTGTATGCATTGATTATAAGTTTTTACCTTTCAAATTGTCATAACCTAGGAACAATTTAATGAACAAAGAGAACGTTGTTTACTTCATGTTTGTATCCGTTGCAGCAAAAGGTTTTGAAAATAATTTTTGCATGTACGATTTTGGATATTATTTAACACCTTTTTTACTTTTTTTTTTAAACATATGATAAATGTATTATTTTAGATTGAAATCAGGACCCCGATCGTTCAAAGCATGGCTAGCTGTACAACAAAGATGAACAAGTTTTGCCGAGTATTTTCGTAAGCATATTCGAGACTAAAGCGACCAGATGAAAATAAATTGTAAATATTAAAATTTTAAATTCCCTAGATGTAATATGTTGATGATATTTTTTTTATTATTATATATGAGATTGTATCATTTATGTTGAAATAAAATTATCACAAAACACCGTTTATTCATAAGTAATAAGTTTGTGGTTTCCGAAAATCTTGGAGAAGGTAGAGCAACAGCAAGATAGAAAAATATCACACACAAAATTTAAATAACAAAAACCCAATTCATATACAAAAATGAAAAAAAAGGGGGAAACACTTAATGGATCTATCGGGACAGCTTATATATTTTGTTTACAAAATAACCGTTATATTTCACATCTGACAAGGCAATATAACCCCAAGTGTCTTGGTGAAATTTGAATGCACTATCCACCATGCCAGTTGACCACTCAGGATCGATTGGGAATTCAGATGTACTGCCAGGGTAAGCATTGTCTGACCCCGTTATATCCCCTTTATATAATGTGTTAAAATCCATGCACCTAAGTCTATTAACACTATGATTGCAGATAATTAATATCCGCAATTGGAAACTAGGCCATGATAACGCTTTTAAGTGTAATTTGATATATCGCCGGTAATTAACTATGACTACATATTTTGCTGACTTAACAGGGTAAAGTTAAACTTATACAAAATCTTACCAAAACAAACCAAACACGTTAGAAAAGAGAAAGCAAATCATCGGCTATATAATTATTTCTAATACTTATACATATTGCAAAACCATATGACGGTAAAAAGCGAATAAATTCACACCAACATTCCTCGACGGAAAATTCAGAACATTTAAAATACAAGACTATGTATCGATAAGTATAAGCACGAAACCTACAGAAACCTTTTGAACCCCAAAACAAGCCAACACAAAAACATTAATCAAGTTCAACGTCATTCATAAAAACAAACCATTATTTATTCTGAATATAACTTAGAAAAGATAGAACCCAGGAACAATTTAATGAACCAAAAATACGTTGAAGGTGTTTACTATATGTTTGTATCTGTTGCAGCATCAGGTTTTGAAAATAATTGATGCATGTACAATTTCTGATACTATTAATAACTTTTTCACGTTGTATTTAATAAACATATGAGAAATTACTCTTTTTTTGTTTTATTGAAATCAGGACCCCAATCGTGTACGTACAACTTTTGTTATTATTTTGTAAGCCTATTCAAGAAAAACACTTCATGATCGAAAATATTTGTAAATATTGAAATCATTTTTCGGTCATATGTTAATTCGCTAGAAGTAAAATGTTGATGATAAAAAATTGTTTTAGTTCATATATGTATGAGATAATATTATTCATGTTGAAATAAATTCATCAGAAAAACTGTTTATTCATAAGTGATGAATTTGAGGTTTAAGAAAATGATTGAGATGTTAGCGCTATAGAATCATAGACAAAATACACCAAACAAACTGGATTTAAAAAAAAAACTAAAAAAACTCATATATACAAAATTAAAAAAAAATAAAAGTGGAAACACATACTTTAAAAGAAAAAATAAATAAATCAATTTATCAGGACTGCTTATATACTACTATATTTATTCACAAAAAAAACCGTTATATTTCATATCTTACCAGGCAATATTACCCCGAGTGTATAGGTAAATTTCGAATGCACTTTACAGCGTGACGGTTTACCACCCAGAACCAGTTGGGAATTCAGATGAACTGGCAGAGTAGACATTTTCTGATTTATATCAGCAATTGGAAACCAGGCCATAATAACGCGTTTAAGCGTATTTTTACGCCTCTCCGTTAGATAGCTATGACTTCATATTTTGCTGACTCTACACTTTAAAGTTTAAAGTTTAACACATTAGAAAACAGAAAACAAATCATCTGCTAAATCAATAAATATATCATAATACTTTATAATACTTATACATATTGCAAAACCATATGACAGTAAAAAGGGAATACATTCACACTAACGTTCCTCAACGAAAATTGAGAACACTTAGCATACACGACTTTGTATTATATAACCACGAAAATTAAAAAAACAACAACCGGAATATATGTTTGAAAAGAGCCTACAAAGAAACAAAGACCCCCCCCCCCCCATATATTTATATATCGTATGGTGATGAAACCAGTTCAGTGTCTTCAAACTGATATCTAAATTTCTTCTTTAAAAAAAGAAGCGAATATTTGTTGTTTGCTTTTCTGTCATTTACACTTTTATGAAAAAATGTATTCTTGAATTTTTGAATTTGAACATCTGTAATCATGGCTACTCAGACTTCAGAAAGGTTCCCGTAAGCAATTGTACAGCTGAACCCTATTGATTCCTTGATACTGTAATTCGTTTTGTTTTACAAATTACCATACCTAGCTATCATCATCGACATCTACACCAAGCGTCAGGAAACGCGTCTTTGTAGACTTTTTTGGTGAATTCTCGAAATTCTAGAGGTCACATCCACTTATGTACTCTTGAATAAATCATGACGAATCAAAAGCAAGCTTTAGCTTATTGATTGGTGTCACTGTCCTTAAAAGTTGATACCCGACTATATAGCCGGCCACTGTTACCGTACCGGTGCCGTCCGATTCTTTTGATGTCAATCAAGAGATCAGACTTCTTTATTTCTACCATTTATAAGGTCTTGTATGTCGTCATGACGTATTCCAGAAGTCAGGAAAGGTAAGAGAGCGTAATGTCTTGAGATATCGAAGATGTTAATGTGACGGCATCATGAGTCAAAATTAGTTACACTACATGCAGATCAATGTGTATTTCAAACTGTGTAACTATCCAGTATTTATAGACTAAACAATTCTACAAATATAGAAATATTAAAAATAAAACCTGTACTTTTTAATACGTATGTAACAATTTTGTTAATTCAATTTTCATATGTATCAAGGCCTTTGTTTACATTTTTGTTACTTTAATGATTTTACCACTGTTTGCCAAACATCGAATTATTTTAGCAAAACACTAGGCTTTTACTTGTTTGGTCAGCAGACCAGCTCAGACCAGCATACAAATTGGTATTGAAGTAGTAACATATAAAACAATTTTGTTCAAGGATAACATGGTGCAAAAATCCCCATACCCGTCTCTCCAAGTTCTGCAGGACTTACACATCGATATTTGTAGAGAGCTCCGGATTGCGAATTAATTGTACCTATGTAGAGTTATTAATAATAGTACACGACACACTATGTTATGCAAAACACATTTATCCCAAACATGAAAAAAGACAATTAAAAACACAAGAGAAAATTCAAAATCACAGATGTGATGCGTCTCAGATTTAAAAATATTGTTTCTTAATAACAAATACACATAGACAACAACTTAATACTTATTATGTATACAAACTATAAATTAAACATCTGTAAAAGACATTATAGCTCTCTTCAAGTATTTCTGATGCTTTCGTTGAATAACAAAACCGAATCATCCAGATGGTTTCATGTATAATCTCTCTCATTAAAATTTTACAGCGCAAATAATCAATATATGTATCGCATTGCAGACCTCTCTAACGCTGGTGTTACGTTATGTACGTTTATATCTGTACAATTTAACAAGCGTCTCAACGTTCTCTCACCTGTTCCAATTGCTGTCCTGATTTAATTTAGTGATACACTGTTAGTGGTTGTTCCGTCCCAATGCACTCCAGTCTTAATGATCTCCATCACTGACTGTCGTCCACAGGCTCAGTAAAGCGCATTAGCTCGACACCGAGTGCTTTGAGAATCGGTTTAATTGGCGTTACAACCGCCGAACCATTTGACAAACAGCCGATACCAAGTCCCAAACACCGAAGGTCATCACCTCTTTTGACGAACACGCCTGAACCAGAATCACCTAGAGCAAAGAAAGGCTCGTTTGACACACAACTACTGATTTCAAGCTGTCCTTTCATTTCAAAACGCCTGTCTGTCAATCCAGTAAGTCCGGCTCTTCTTACTGAAATGGGTTCTCTCACGTGGACAAGTGATACATACACTCCTTTTGTTGCGTGTGTTATAGCTCCGAACTTTACTATCTCTTCATTCATTATCGCTGTTGGCTCTGCCTGGTCAGCAGAATCAAATACAGGAAATGTCTTGAAACCTGTAAAAGAAAGTATGTTGTTGATTTATATAACAGTGCAATATTACAGGTTAAGCATACTCTTATATATGTAATACAGTATTCCACATTATCTGTACATAATGCATCGTCCACTGATTAATGTCATGAAACTTTTTTTTAATATTCTGTTTCACATTACTCAAATATTACGTCTTTGTTCATAATTAAAAAATCCGAGATAATTTGCCTGCTGTTTGCAAAATCAGACTGAGATACAACTACTGCACTTGTATGGGAATTAATGTTCTACATAGAAATGAGTTTTAGTATATTGAAGTACTTTAAGCAAATGCATAATTCATTCAATAACAAGGCATCACTTGTCTTCAATATGATTCATCAGTATCGAAATATGTAATGAATGTGTAACTGTATACACGAACAATGTACGTATTGAACGTGCCGCTGCGTTTTAAGACCGACTGGTCCCTTTATCAAGCTATAAATGAGTGAGCGATTAGTATTGTTTACCTTTACAACGACGTGACGGAAATGAACATTTCATATGTCACGCAATATTGGACGTTTGTGTATGAAGTAAAACTTTGATATTAAGGAAGCACTTAACTTCGTTTTTTTATCATCAGCAAATAGACAAATATAACTCCTCGAAAACAAAGTTTACATATTCTAGAAATGAGTACCTATTTCAGCGAGCTGGTTATATCGGACAAAAGCGAACTCTCCCCCTGACGGCATTCTGTCATTCTCGACGGCTACTACTGCGGCATCTACAGTCACACCATCTACTGTTACACCGTATGTGCCGCGATAGGTCCTACCACACTTTGAATCAATATTGATGCTTTTTGAGGGCATGAAGGTATTCAGTGCAGGCTGGTTGACTTGCAGTTGAGTTGGAGTGTTGATTTCATCATAGCTATAACTATCTTCTACTTCCTTGAATCCATAAGCAACATGTGCGCATGTCAAAAATCCGTCGAGAACACCATCCTTTCTGCTGTGTATTTTCACAAACGGACCAATAGTTCCACCCCTACTTTGTCCATCCTCTTCAACGTCGCATTCGCATCCCATCTTTAGTTTAGGATGGAAATGTGAGCTTGGTATTGCTGAATAGGTACGTGGTGCGATTTCAAAGAATCCTTTACGTACATCTGTAAAAACGGCAATACCATCAACCAAAAGCTGATGCGGAAATACATCTTCCTGTATTGGCCTTAATCCTTTTGAGCTACAATATATAACTACAAGGGCTGTTTCTGCCAGCTTCAAGTCTTTGCCTTCTTTTCTGGACTTCAAATGCGAGACTCCCAAGGCATTGATGTTCGAATGTGATTGCATCAGACGCGTGCCATGCATCTCAATTGCTTTATAAGCAGCATATGTAATGCCCTTGCTGTTGTTTGTTTCCAATGACCTCATTTCCGCACTATTTGCTACTCGAGTTCCTTCATCGTTGACGTTTTTGGGGTTTCTGAATAATACTATCATCCCCGCGAACTGCTCCACTCTTCCACGAACAACGTTTGATCCATAAGCCAGGAATACCACTTCTCCTACACTGTTGAATGTTGGCTCAATTCTATAGGAACCTTGTAATTTCACTTTGTCCGCTAATCGCTGTTTTAGCTCCAAAGCAACAGCTTTTTTACAACGGTCATCCAACGTATACTGCGTAAGGCACTTGCCAATATCATTCTCATCTTTCACGGAAGGTAGGAGTAAACTCATAATGTCAGCCTTGTTTAGCTCACATGTTAACTGAAGGAGAGTAGAGGTGTCTGTAGAAGCAACAAGAGATGGATATGTATTACAGAGGTATGAATACATGTCTCTACTTCCAGAACGACAAGCCTTGTGAAGCATGGATTCGTTATCCGCATCTACAATATTAGCAATGTATTGTTGACGCTCCTCTCCTAGTTTTTCGAGCAACACAGATTCTACAGCGATAAAGCAATCCTTATTTCCAGATTTAGCAATGCGAAGAAGACATTCGCTACTGTTCTTTGTTAATAAAGCTGGGAACTTTTCATGAGTTGCAAAACATTTGTCTTTGTCTCCCGATTCACAAGCGTCATACATGTATTTCAAATTCCTGTTTTCAAACGAAACTTGCTCACGTTCAACCGAAGTAGATCCTTTATCGTAATCATGACATTGTTTGGCGACTTGTGCCTGTTGAAATCAAATATCAAAGGATTTGTGATTATGGTGAACATAATACCAAATACATAAAAGTGTATGCAGATAAACATTGAAGGTTGCTGACTGGGATAAATGTTTGAATTTTCTTTGACACACACAAAAAGTGAACGTTCAGACACAAATACAATTTTGTAATATGTTTTATTCTTTTTAATTGCCATCGCTGTTGACAATATATATACAAAATGTGTGGAGTTAACGTCTGCAAAACAGCTAAGGTCATATGAAGACGAAAGCCTGGTGAGAAACTGGAAAGAAAGAGTATGTATTAGAGGAAGTAGAAAAAGATTGCAAGGGGGAGCAGATAAATGAAAGTAATACTAGGAAAACAATAGTGCACGTGCGTTACGATGATACGTCAATTCCCGATTTCGAAACTCAACTGGGTTGTCATCATGACCTATAAGTACGTCATCAACTGAACCTGAAATGCTTAACAGATAATATTAATGTTGATCGTTATTTATGTTTTACAACCAAATGGTTCTGTTCACACACATTGTATTCCTTGATTTATCTGATGCCGATCGAGCAGTCATAAAATTAAGATATACAAAAAAACAGATTGTGTCTTACCTGCGCCATGTCTGTAGATACTGGAAAATTTAAGAAAAACAATTTAACAGAACTTCTAGTTAAATAGTTCATTTGACAACAACCTTTCATAAGAATTAACGATAACGCTGCTGGCAAAGTTGACTGTATTATGAAAATAAAGAGCAATCAATTATCGTATTTGTAATACATGTAAACATCTCGAAGAATATAACAACAATTTATATTCGTAGACGACCCCATTTTAATCAATTCTTTACAAACGATCATACAAACATGACATCATCAGTATTCAATTGAAGTACGACGTCTAATATGTTCTTTCTCCCTAATTTGAATTAATACCGTTTCTTTAAAACTTATGAAAGTGGTAAAAATTACTGAACTTCACAAGTGGGAATGTAAAACCCATTTTGAGTACATGTTTTTGTACTAATTACAGGTATCGTTTGAAAATCAACAATTTTCAGAGTGAACTAACTGGTCGGGGTTATAAGAGAAAATCAAATATTTCATCGTTTCAACATGAAAATGTACACCTATTATTTTATTATAATTTTAAGTTTAACGGGTGATCTGATGAAATAAATTTGGACACCTCCTCGTATCCTATGTAATAATGGTAGTCGCAATAAGGACACGTAAACAATCGTTAAAACACAGGACCTTTACAATTGTAAAAGTATATGTCGGGTGTGTATCTATTATTATTATTATATGACTGTCATTTTCCCCAGTCGTTGATTGGTCAAACACCTCTTATAGGTCTAAATATATTGCAATGTTAAACCGAAACCTTCAGAATCCGTGCATGCGAGGTGAATATAAAAGTCAAAAACCCCGACAGGCGCCTCACAGGTGAATATTACAATCCAGTAACCTGTGCTACAATGTTTGACCAATCAGATGAGCGGATTGTCGTTGCCTCACTGGAGTGAAAATGACAAGCGACAGTGTAAACAAACTCGGCTTGTCAAGATTTGGAACTGTTTCCGATGAGCAACTTAAAACTTTTTTGGTGCAAAAGGACTGAGCTACTGACACGTCCGTTTGTGTATTGCGTTAATATTGGAAAGAAAAAGCAATGGACACAGACTTTGCTAGCTCTACAATGTTCTTCGGTAGATTTATGTGGAAATGACAAATATCAGCGTAGTTTTCTTTTTAGTTTTGGTATCAAGACAGAATACAATCTCGAGTTATTGTTTAAAACATATTCAATTGTAATTGTTTATTCTGAAAAATCCGGACGGATGAGATTTAATAACCGATGAAAATTGTGATTATAAATAATATTTATTTATGCATTGTAAACGAATGTGATGTTTGAAGATACCGTTACACGGTACTGTATTTTTCCCATGAAATGCATATTACTTTTGATAAATACTGAATGTGTTTGATTGAGTTTTCTCCCATTTACTCACATCACGCAGTATGGTGTTTTTGATCTTATTAACAGCTAATATAAGGCCATTTTAATCGCACAGAGACACATATTCTGTGTAGGCAGAATTTCATTACAGGTGCCATACTCACGAAATATGCTTAGTATGGATTGGTGATATACATGGATAAGTTTATAAAAATGTCAGATAATAAAACAGTTATTGATCAGTTTTCAGGTAAATACGAGGATTTATTAACACTCGAAGGAGATATTCCCCTCGGCTGAATTGGTCAATAATTGTATATTATATCATGATATTGGATGAAACGATGCGTGGGCAGACTTTTTTTCCATGATATTTATAAGTGTGAAACATGCGTTAGATAAACTGTAATGGAATACATGGCATGTATAATACGAAACGGATAAGCAAACATGAGGAGGAAACAGGTACTGTGTACTTATCTAAATCCTTCTCATCTCTCTTACTATGAATGACTAGTATTTGACATTACAGGGCATTTAGACAAACGAAGATAAGCACAATATGTGGTAAAGTATATATGGATGTTCCATGAAATAGTCAAAAATCATGTCACTATGAAAACAATTGAGAGGTTTTTCCATTTAATCAAACGTTCAGTTGAGAGAGCTAGTTTCTTTTTTATATGTTAAAAATACTATTAAGTTTTGTCCAACCGGTAACATTTTATTGTTTTGGAATGAACAATTGTTGTTTTGTCCCAAACTAAACCCTCGTATTCCAGAATTGGTCTTATGAAAGAAATGCATATTTTTTGGAGTGATAGTCTGTCAATTTCGAATTTTATTTCACACATTATATTTAACTTTACTGATGCTTTGCCAACTACATGATTAAGGTGCTCAGCCAAGTTTCTGTTCCCAGAGAAATTAATACATGTTTGTGAATGTCAAATTCAATCAAGATAATACCATTCAAACGTGAGAGATGGTGAGCTGGTTTGTTCTTTACTTAATGTCATAATCTCGACTTTTGAGGGCTTTAACTGAATGAGCCAGTTTTGTCCCACTTATGTATTTAATTGCATGATTCAGTTAAAGAACGGGAACCTCGATACCGCGATAATCAATACTTGACTGAAAACGAAAATAGTTATTGAAATAGCAGCCTTAACCTTGTCATCAGTTAAATAACGATTATTGTGGTGTTTGGAAGAATTGTTGAACTTTTTATCAGAATTACACGACTTGCATTTTTCTCTAGCATTAAGAGTATTACTTTTATGGATGTCATTGAATAATTAATCTAAACAAAAATCAGTTTAGAGTGACATAGTATATGCACATATATTACGTTAATGTTTAAAGTTTGCCCTCTATTCTTCTTTCATAGTTCTTTTTTGGCTTTTCGATGGGAAAGCGTTCTTTTATTTATTTTCCTAGTCAGCTCTCTTATTCGATTACATATCCCAGTGGGTTCGTTAGCACAAATGGTTACTATTTTGTTAGGGATACATTAATGAACAATTTTAAGAGCTATGGAAGTAAAGTAACTAACAATTCCATCAATATCATCCCTGTTGGTAATATCATCCCAGTGAATTATGTTGATATTCACTATAATCGCCATCACGGAAAAGCTTTCAGACTTTTTTCTCATTAAAAATATCAGATATAGCGTGTTTATATTGATCAACGAAACATTCACTGACAAAGCAGGTATTTAATACGTTATTACTTGCGCATGTAATGTCTAAATGAGAAGAGAAAGACTCGGTATAACACGTTAGTTCAGATATCATCTGTGCTAATTGTTGATCGGAGAAGGCAATGACCGTAGCAATTCGTGTCACGTACATTTTACTTGAAGTCACTAGTTAGAATTATATTTCTCATATAAGTATTAAAAGCCAAGTCAACATAATATCAAATGTGATCCCATGTAGAAGTTGGAGATATCGGAGGCCCATACAAAGTTCCGCACAAGACTGGTTTGTTAGATATTGACACTCAACCGACACGTATTCAATATTTGGGAATTCTAAATCATCACGTCTGTTAGACAATAATTTGATTTTTACATAGATAGCAGGAATACCGTTTTTACAATTTAATGCCATCTTCCTCCAAGGAGGATTTTCACCAAGTAAGAATAATTTCCCATTGAAAATTGAAAAACAATACCATGTGTTATTGTCCTATATAAACCTAGTAAACGGTATCCCTCCCCGACGGAGAACTGATGACCCGGGGGTACTGAAATTTACCATTTTAATACAGTCCCTGATGATCTTTCTATCCATGCAGAGAAAATGCTGAGTCTGGAGAAGAAGATGTTTGAAATATTGGTTATTTTTTACACTGGGGTCCCGCCCTAGCCCTTGGGGTTGGGGTAGGAATCCCAAGTTTACAATTGTGTAGCCTCATTTACCAAGGATGATTCTGATCAAGACTGAAACAAATCCATTCACTGGCTCTTGAGAAGACCTCAAAAATGTAAAAAGTTTACGCAACACGCACGACTGACGACGCACGACGACGTTCGGAAAACGATCAGAATAGGTCACTTGAGCAAAGGTCAGGTGACTTAAAAACTCCAATTAATGCCATATCACGGTGTTAAACAGACAAATTTGCACTGTATTACTGTCTACATACTATTTGCACTGTGTGCAAATTAACCTAATGTTATTAACAAATAAAAAAAGTCTGATTCAAATAGACGGTAAAAGAATAATGATAGACTATTGTCCAAAGAAAATGTTTGCGTCTTATTTAGTATTTTGACTTTGAATTTATTATAAAATACATCTATTGTATAATTAACCTACCAAGTTGAAAACAAAATTATCCATTTGTTTGTGTTTATGACAGAAAGATGAAATAAAGACAAATTCCATTTCAATAATTGATGCAGTTTGAAAATCATGTCAAGTCACAAAAATCATTTGTACGGAATTAACGCGCTGTTAACGTTAGTTACTAAATATTGTGCTAGAAATAACGATGTGAATTATGTTCAGTTCCCGTTAGTCAATCGACATTTGACTTCACTGTTAGATGAGGTAGGTATTGTTACACATATTGTGCTGGTATTGTTTTTGTATTTGGTTACTGTGCATCAACAATTTCAGTCATTTAAAAATATACAAATAAAAAGATTCACAAAACGGAAGCATATCCAACCTAAAGATGCAAAAAAAACCCAACAACTAACAAACAAACAAAACATAAACGCAAAAACAAAAACCTAAAACCGATTGACAATGTGACAGATATCAAAAATAATACATGTCAAAGTGATATGATATTTATGCTCATTATTGACAAATCATATAGTATAATATTGATCATATCTTTTGAAAAATAAAATATATCCTCAATCGTGACGGCATTGCAGATTTGCGCCAAAGAAAACGTTTTCTATTCCCCAGACATTGGATTTGGTTACATTTCGTCGTTAACGATATCTTGTCATACTCGAAAATGTCTTTAACTTTCAAAGGTAAATCATGTACTTCCCACTGTCTGTTGTCAATAAATCTTTTGCTCTGATGCATATTGTATACCTTTTATCAATTGAAATGGGAAAAATGAGATTAAACAATATCATAATCTATAGAAACATTAAGGATTTTGCTTTTTAAAACTTTCTCTATTCCAATTAGAGTAAATAATTCGGATAAAAACGAATTAATAATTCAATAAAAGAGGATAACTTACTTTCCAATTTCTTTACTTGCGTTTGTCTCATCGCTTAGAAAAGAAAACAATAAGACAGTGAAACTTCTTTCTGTACTATAACATGTTGCTTTACAAACATAAATCAGCTATAAATAACGATGAACACGGAAAAAATAAAAACCATCGGGGAAAAAATTAAATCGCAAATAAGGAGAAGAAATAATTGTAAAATATGAGGTTTGAGGAAACAATGGGTCATGTGTATCAATCAGCATGTCATTGTAACAAAAGCAAAATCCAACATCCCTGTAAAATCCGGGACTTTGTTTGGTATTGTGTTTAGAGATCATAAAATACAGAAACTGATATGTTAACTCCTATCGATAAACTAGGGGTCTTTATTTGTTCTTTTTTCACCCTGTTCTCTTTTACNAAAAAAAAATGGACATAATAAATGGTAAGAAAGAAACACAGACTTATTTCAAAATTGTCAAAAGAATTTAAAAGTGATACCTGTCATGGATGGGGATATCACAGGGAATTAATGACCAGATATAAAATAAGAAAATGAAAACATCTTTTTACAAAATGTTTCGGTGTTATAACCAAAATAGGTAGGATTGGGTTTACTGGACAAACAAAATGGAGCGCAAATTTATTCTCAATCGAGATGTCAATGCAATATGGCACAGAGGATTACGTTTTCAATTCCCGCACATTTGGATGCAGTGACGTTTTTTGTCGTTTTAGATAATTTAGAAATATCATATGTAAAAGTGAATGGTTTTCCTTCAATACGTTTACCGTGCTTCACAATCGTTAAATATAAATCATCTGCAATAATCGAGCAATTATATTGATATTAACCGATAAACCATTTAATTGCCGCTGTCAGTTGTAAAACAGGGAAAGCATGATGCATTTAATCAGTTTAGATAAAAACGATGATTAAACAAATCCTTATCAAAAGAAATATTCAATGTTTTACAGTATCATTAAATTATTAAGTCAATATGATTTGGATAAAAAATATATATTACAATAAAACGGAATACTTACTTTCTATTTCCAATTCTGCAATCATTTTCTTTCGTTTCTCAACTTTGGAAAGAAAACAATAAGATAAAATAAAAACTTGACACTACACTACGGTGTTATGAAGACATAAACCAACTGTGAATAGCAGTGAACACAGAAAAATAAAACCCATCTTGAAGTATTTAAATAGCAAGTAAAAAGGAAGAAACATTGTTAATTGAGGAATAGATATGATTCTTTAAAATCTTATCAGGTTTGAGGTACTTGTATGTCTGGTGTATCTGTGACAGCCCTGTAAAATCAGCGATCTGGTTGGTTCCATTATATATGGGATATCAAAAGAAACCGGACGGGATATGCTGCCCCTATTGCAAAACATGGGATCTCTATCTTTCTGTTCTCCTTACCCCTCTCGTTCGGTTTGACCGTTACTGAAGTCAAAAATAAATGAATTTGTTTGAAAAAAAATTATTTTAATTTTCGTTTATCAAACAACATCTGTCCTCAATGTTAGATTAAAAATATGAGGGAAATGTTAAGGTCGCGCGCACCTTGAATGGACGGTTAAAACAACGCTCCGCCAAAAAGTACTTTTAACGTAAGTTCTGGTATAGATTATCATTACATTTTCATCATGGAGACTTAAGAAAGTATTTTCTCTACGATACCTTTCTTTCCAGCATATCCAACTGAAGGAAATGTGTATTTTATATTTTTTTCGATACACAGACTGACGCTACTCACGCGCGGTGACCACTACTTACCATGCATTTATATAGACGTGTACCATAGCTAGGCGCTTGCCGGTATAGTGTGTATATATCTACTGTTTCACCATATAGACAAGTATGTGTCCGAGTAAGGCGAAGACTGTGACCGAAAGTTTGGATGATTTATCAAAACAAATTGAAAACACTATTACAAAGGACTATCTTAACTCTATTGTGGCAAAGTTAAAGGACGAACTTCAGGCGGATTCACCGGGAGAACGAAGAAATTATTCATTCACTTAAAATGAGAATTAACTCATTCGAGTCTGAGAACGAGGACCTGAGGGAAAAAGGTCACCATCCTTGAACAGAGAGTAATATATTCCGAGGAATTCATCAGCGACCTTGGGTAGCACTATAACGACCTTGAGCAGCATGGTCGTTATAATTCGATCCGGATTAATGGACTGCCCGACCCTTCTGAACGAGAATCAGTGGAGGATTGTGTTAGCAAGATCGTGGACTTTGTCAATACTCGTCTGAAAGTGGCCCTACGATCAGACGACATTGACATCGCACATAGACTGGGGACAATTATTCGTTGTGCTGAAAAACGAACGTAAAAAAGAAACTGTTTCACGACACACAACTCACTGCAAAATATCTTGAAAATGACGCCACCTTTGGCTACAGAAGGAATTAAGTGCATACACTAGAGCGGTTGACAGTGACTTTGGCTGTAATGCATCGTTGACCAGTGCTAAAAGTGAGTTTTCGTTTTCGTAGTTACTTTTTGGAGGATTTTGGATTTTAATGTTTTTCAAATTCGCTTTTATAAAGTCCTATCGGAATATATGTTTTCCATGTGAAGGTTAGTCTCTTGATATAAAAATATGTTAAATAACATTACGACTTACTTTATTTTGAAAACAAATGTACGTCCTAAATATGGTTCGTGCATTTTTCGATACCTAGTCTTTCTCAGTATTTTTGGACACGGTAGCTCTATTTATCTAAAAGTCTTTTGATCAATTTGCTTACCTTATTCAAATTAAATATGTTGTACTAGGATATTTCGTCCTGGAACTATTACTCACATCTAAGAGAATGAGTTTTCTGTGTACGGAAAATCTAGCTGTTGATACATTATTTTTATATCTTGCGTTCACGCACTAAACATAAACAAATATTTCTGCATTGAAAAAAATACCTGTTCCATGTTTGGTGATCGGTGTGGTATAGTTTTATGTGTTTCCTGGTTTGGTTTTATTTTACCTATTTATACCAATGGTTTGGTTTTTCGCAACTAGTATGTGGATTTTATTGTGGTGCTGCTTTTTTTCAAATGCTATTTCTGAAATATAAAAAAAAAATCCAGATATACAATGCCGAATCTTATAGGCGTTACTATATCCTGCAGACTTCCTGTGTACTTTCCGGTATATTGCAAGACCTAGCATGCAAGGTGTGAACATTTTTCTCTTTTCTCTTTAAGTGTGAGTATGTTAGTGGTTATCGACTCTAGACCTCAAACATATAATTACAATAAGTATATATTATAATCCTAAGTTGTATGTGAATAACCGTAGCGACTAAACAAAGAGTTCAAAGAATTGCTATCACATCAAGTACTAACTGACATTGTACATGTCGGCATCAACAGTATACCTTGATTTGTGTCCTTCATCGTGCCGAAGATTATACATAGGCGCATTGTCGAGGAAAAGTTCGTGATTAAAAGGTTGTGGTTTTTTTTATCTTAAAACTATCAGATAAGCAAAGTGGCATGTTACATCAAGATACAAGATACAAGAATCGATATTTACGTTGAATATATGTCAAAGTAAACATAAGTTCTCAGGAGCTTGTATTTCGACAAACATTTATATATATAAATGGTAAAACATTGTAGCAGTGTAAAGGCAAACAACACATTTTATCATGAGATAACTACGTTAAAAGGATTAAGATAAAGATGCTAAACAATCATGCTGTACAAAATTTGGCACTAAAACAACTTACTTAGTAAAACTTAAAAAGCTGTCTAGAGGGCAGGTGATTGGGACAGACCCTACCTAACAGCCCTCTGGACACTGCTGTACATATTTTTTAAACATAGCGTTTGTTTGTAACCTCGAAAACGGGTTTGGTAGCCGTTAATATTGGGAGACGTTCATACCGTGCATGCAAGCTGAAATTAACAAATCATTTGTTTACAATTACAAGTCATCATTTTCATGAAATTATCCAAATAAATAATATCTGTATATCAAAATAAACATCAGGTTTGGTTTAGTATTGTTTAATGTACGTCTTATCAACAGCTATACATGGCCATTTAAGGACGGCCTCCCCCATTTCCGAGATGCATGTGTGTGGTGAGTTTGTGTATAATTAATTTGTGTTTTGGGAGCCTGTGGCATGTTCATGTTTGTCTCCTTGTGATAGCGCAGGACTGATGCTGACTGTATAGTGTAATTTCACTGGAGCATACTGCTAAAGACACATCTTATTTTACAATCGAACCTCGTTATTTCACCATCTTCGATAGCCAAGGGTTAATAATTTAAATTTGTTCCATTCAACCTTGACGGAATGAGCCTTGTGTTTAATTCCATTCCCTTGTCACCTAGCAGAGACACTTTACTAGCAAAACTTTAAACTTTCAAGATTATTTCAGCACTGGTTGCCTATGTATTTCCCTTGGTTATCATTTATAGTTACAATATGGCCAATTATCTCTACCAACTGATCAAGTACAGAAAATGTTTCAGTACTGTCCTCCTTTGTTTTTAGCTCACCTGTTCGGGCCATGTTAGCTTATGCCGTACTAAAAAAAAGTTTCCTTATTAAAATGACCTTGACCTACCTTTAAGGCCACAGGGGTCAAATATGTTCAGAAATTCAAACAACAATATCTTTTGGACTAGAGTCATGACACCTGGGTATGTTATGCAGACCAGCAGTGCAAATCGTTTTCTTTGTTACAGTAATGAGGTCAAAGGTCAACTTTAAGTGCTAGTCGGGGTGCAAATGTCAACGTGGGTTAAACGTTTTAACAATCTTCTTCTCAAGTTCCATATGGCCCAGGATCATACTATTTGGCCAGTAGGTACCAGGAATAGAGTGCTATAAAGTGTCCTTTTTAAAATGACATTGACCTACTTTCAAGATCAAAGGAGTCAAAAATGTTAAAACAATTCAAACGACGATATCCTAAGAACCATTTGGTCTAGAGTCATGATAATTTAGTATGTTATGTAGACCTGCAGTGTGAACCTTTTTCTTTATCAAAGTAATGAGCTCAAATGTCAACTTTAAATGCTAGCCGGAGTCAAAGGTCAACGTGGGTTAAAAGCTTTAAAATTACAATTTCACACTCATATTTCAATAAACAATATCTTAAGAAGCGTTTTAGGGATGTTAAAATGTCTTGTGTTCTAGTTACTAAGATTGGTCTGAAGTTGCCTATATGTCAGTTTCATGTAACAAAAGAAACAGGTGAGCGATACAGGCCCTCTTGGCCTCTTGTTTTACATAAATCATGACATAGTCGACAAGGCAAGTTGGTACTGGGCACCGCCATTATTATTTACATGCACAGGGACTTGGTATTAATTTCTAACCCTCAGTTCACATATATGAGTAGTATATAGTGTATGACATACAAGTCCCTGTGTCAGGTGCAATAATCTGAAAGCTTAGAGAACAAGGCTAAATCTGCTAAGGTTGAATACATGAATATGTGAATACAAAATGAATGGCTATAGCAAAGATATGTAAAATTATGAAGGAAGTCAATTTTATTCGAATTACCTGACGTTATTTTCAAAATAACTTCAGTCCACCTGTATTTCCGCACTGTTCTCTGTATAAGGAATAGGAATCAGTTTTTGGGGTTGTATAAATCCTCGCTACCACTTTTAAGTCATATGTATCAGAAAGGTCTACCAAATATCTGATTCTTTGACAACTTACTACAAATATATAGCAGGAGTTGAGCTTTATATATCCACTGCACGACACTTCATATTATTTGTTGACATTTTTCTGCTACAATTCATGGAGTTTCCTCAAAAGATGCTGATAACCGAAAAGAGTCTGAAACCTTAATCATATCTTTTAGAATACTGTGTTTAAAAAAAAGGCTATACATGTATCTCTTAGATCCACTAAACATCAACAAACAACATGTAAACCCTTCATTCCCTAAACCTGTGATTAAAAGGATTGAAAAAAAAATCTGTTCAACAGTCATATTTACAGTGGTGTTCAGATCCATTAATACATAAGTTGACATAAAATTGTACTGCAGTATTTTTTGGTCTGATTTTTGACAGCTAAATAAGTCTC